TCTTAGAATAATTCGCTCAGTTAATTCACAATTGCACTATCACATTATATATTCATCTATTATTTATTCAGATAGATACTTATTTCACAACGTTTTATTTATTTATTTCATTATGAACACTTTAGTGATCCATAATAAACATTTTAAAACTTACTGAAAAAGAGCAAAAATAACAAACAGCCTTGAACCATCAATTTAATCATTTATGGTGACAGCTTTCATCCATCAGACATATCAAACATATGCACCTGTGAATAATTTTGAAATCCATTTTAATTACTGAAGATCATCTCAGGATCCTCCCTTTGTGTTTTGCAACCCACAGAACAGACCAGATTTCCGAGAACTAATGATAAAGCACGTTTATCAGAATATATTAAAAATATTCCATTGTACTGATGCTAAGTTGATATTAAAATGCTTTAAGATATACATTTATTAACCTTTTAAAATCATTGAAATAGCTTTTTAGGTGATTAAGTCTGTTGAGTTTAATGTCATAAAGAGCTTTGAGTTCCATCACGCAATGAAATACTTTCTTCTGTCTTATCTTATCCATTAATACAGCCTGTTTTTCTAAGATACTATCATTTTTTGATGGTGGTCCTTTACTCTGATTCCACTCATGTCACGTTCCCAGCACAAGAAGCGTGAGGGATCTTGTCTCAGTGTGGACTTTAAATCTCACAGTCTATTTGCATCCCTGGCCAGAAAACCCAACTGCTTATATTTCCAGCTGCAACTGGATATCTTGCATTACTTTTGGTTAACAAACACCAGACTGGTCGGACAAGATCTGGTGACTCCTCAACTCAACTGGAGCAGAGACATCATGAGAAAAGAAGAGACCACTACTGTAGTGGTTTCACACAGTTGGTTTAGTRTCCCATAAATAAGCCTATCATCCGTCAACACTGTGGCACAGTATAAGAAGCCATGGTGTGCCAGTTTGTAGCACTATTTACATATTCGATATACAAACATCAGTAGCCATCTGTATGTGAGAAATTTGTGCAGAGGGAAATGGAGAAGAAGCAGGACAGGAACAGGTTTTTGTAGATTTGAGGATAAAACAAAAAGGCAACTACTTGGGCCAAAACAGAGTAATTCATTGTCAGCTGGAATAATACCATTGGATTATTCTGTTCTGACAAGATATTTTCTTCAACAATATATGTACCCTCAACAAAAGCTTAAAAAATCAAGCTGTCCCTCACTGTCCCTCCTCTACAAAGTGGATCAACYTATGCTCTACCTCTGATGAGCTCATTCCTTATCTTATAAGTCCTTGTCAGTCCCAAGGAGAACCTCACCATCTTCATCACTGCCACTKCCAGTTCTGCCTCCTGTCTTTATTGTAAATGCCACTGTCTCCCAACCATACAGCTGGTCTCACTACTATTGTAAATCTTTTCTATGACCTTTGCTGCAATCATTTTGTCACAAGTCACTCCTGAAACTTTTCTCCAACTGCTCCATCCTGCCTAGACTCTGTCCTTTTTGCCACTCTCCCCATTTTCCTTGACAGCCAAACCTAATTTATTACTGATAAGCCATGTGTCAAAATCAAGACTAAAAGTTAATGTGGTCAGCGAGAGCTTCAAAGATGTAATAATGTCTTAAAATAATCCTATTTGGCCAGCATTTACAGTATCTCCCATAATGCATATTCATTATTTTATCTTAAAAATGACAGCATCACACCACTATAGGTGGAAGTGAACAAGTTCAAAAGCAGTCAGCGGCTGGTGAAGTTTGCTGTGTAAAATCTCCATCTGGCTACATTTTTGCCAGCTACTTTTGCTGTAGCCCAGTTGTACTTGGAAGTGGGAATTTCCCACTTAAGTCATAAATTTAAACTGGAACATCTCTCCAGTGGGAATCCCCTGTCGGAAAGTGGGAGAGTTCAGAAATAAATATGGTGGCTTCTTACCCCAACTCAACAATGAGTAAAACTCTCTTACTTTTACTTTTAACAGTATTTATGTAATATTTATGTAACAAGTAAACATTTTCATTGTTAGTAAGAGGATGTGTTAAAAAGCTGCAGCAGGAAATACCAGGTAGAGCTCAGGTATTGTTTGTAAGCTGCTCAGCCATATAAGATGAGGAACGGGGATGTTTCGTGCTTAGTCTAAGTTAAATGTCCTTTGAGGTTCATAATAATGTTCACATGGCCCTTGACCAAATGAGTTTGACACCATTGTGATAAACAGTTCAAAACACCAAATCCTTAAACTTTCCCTGCAATTAGTTCTTGAGTGAATATCTTGTCCATTTTTGTCACATCTGTGGCAATTTTTAGTAAAATTTGACACATCAGTCCGGAAATGTATATGTACACTACAGATATTAATAACCTGTAAATAAT